ACATTAACCAAAGTTTTTCAGAAGCAATTTTAAAGCAGAATGCATTAATAAAGTCTTTGACAACTCTGCAACAGCAGCAAATTTCCACTGTAGAGCCAATAGTTATCTCTATTACGCACAAACTACAGAAAAATATAGCGTTAGGCTAAATCACTAGGACTGACAGGACAGGTTGAAAAGCACTATAATTTCATATTTGATTTCCAACTATCAAAACCAGGCAAATCAAAAGGACATCTCTTCTAGCAGACTTATATTTAGCAGACATAACAGAAGTGGATTTTGTATGTTGCTTTTGGTCTACTGACATTCCTAACACTTAGCTGTAGTAACTTACTAGTGCAAGAACATTTAAAAACATTACTACCAGCATTCCCTGGTAGTATCTATACTTAGTATCTGTATTCTAGTAGTTATTCCAAGCAATAACAGCAGGCCCATCCATATTCCAATCATTACCATACTATCAGATGCATTTTCCTTGGTAGCTTATTTCATTTTGCCTTGGCTCCTTTGAGAGACTCGAATGCTAACAAGTTCTTTTAGGTGAGAGGAAGCGCTATCAGATGACCTGAAAATTCTGGGGAAGGATAATATTTTTTTTCTTTTTAATAATTTACTGTCACATATGTGCAACTTATGTCACATAATACAATTCACACAGCATTTTTAACAGTTTCAAAATTACTTCTGTATCTGATTCAACTTCCTACTTTCCTCCTGCTTGTCAAAGAATCTGCAGTTCTTACTAGCCACAGGAAATTTCTCTGAGAATCCGCAACTTGCATGACCAACTAAAACCAGAGCAGATAAATAGGCTCTATTTTCAGTCCTCAGTACAGACAACTCCCTCCAGAGTCGAAACATATACAGCTACTTAGATAATTTAAAAACTCAAATTTATTACTCGGCAAGACTAAAAGGCAATGCATGTCACTCTAAAAATAAATGAAATCACAATTTTAGATTCTACTGATCACGTAATCTCTAATTGATTTTATATTTCACCTATTTCAGGAAGCCTTTAGGCTCAGGAATTTAATTTAGCCTTTCTATCTTGTCATGCCCTGGAGTAACCTAAAGTCAGAGCAGCACCTCTTTGACCTTACTATCCAAGGTAAGTGTTTGTGATACCTTCTGGAATAAAGACATTCATCCAAAGTAGAACTTCTAAATCCCTCTTTATTACTCATAGATGCTTGCTCCTGACCTCTATGTGCAAGTTATGCGGTAATGCAAAAGTCAGTCTTTCTTCTTTCGCAAAGTGCCTTAGTTTATAAATCATTGTATTCCGTAATATTTTGAAATATGTAATACTTCCCTCAACTCCCAAGACTCATTCAGAAACAACATAAAAATCCACACCACCATACCTTCTGAACCAAACCAGAAAAAAGGCAGATTACGATATTTATTCTAGTTATAAGGCAATATTGCTTAGGTCTTATCAAAATTCAGTGTAATCCAAAGGGCACCTATAGCTGCTTCTATGACCCAAAAGTAGTGCAGCTCAACAGGAGACAGAAACAGAAGCCACCATTACATGACAAGCCTCTCTGCTCTACACCATGAGTCAAACGTAGTAAACTCTTAGCAAGGTTTACTCTCCTAAGTAGTCCTATTTTATGCATCTTAAAAATACATTACCTTTAGATCATATTTATGTGCATAATCCAAGATAACAGGCACCAAATCATCAGTTGGTTCTCCATTTTCATCAGCCATACCTGGTGGGTACCATGAAAGCACTATTACACCTGAAAATACAAAACTTAAGTTTTAAATCATGTTGTTTAACATATAACATGGACCTGGTAACATTTTCGTGAGTTATAATTATTATTTGAGGTGAAATCTATATAATATAAATGAGAATTCAAAGTTACTTTTTAACCAATTACAAAATCTCAGTATTCTCAAAGCGTATTTTAACTTCTCTCTTTGTTTAAAAGACCACAAAACAAACAGTGGTAAGATCACGTGTCAAGGGAACAGATCTGTGCTCAGTGTCCCAAGCCTAACACTTCAAGTCATTCCCTCCACCTCTTCAGCACAGCGTCCTAACCTCCAGGTTGTACCAAGAGGAGGAGAATGCTCCCAAGGAATTCAGCTATGCCACAGTACAGGCAGAGAATATCAAGACACCTTGGGTCAGAGAACACGCAAGAGACGAGGGCTATGCATGTGAGGAAAGATACTTATCTTATGAAACTTTATTCCCCACCATATTTCTGCATTGTACCTCTGGCACTACTACAAAAGAACCATTTCATACTAGAAACAGTGACTGTAATCCCACAACCTTCCTTCTTGCTAAAAGCATTTACTATGTTGTAATCCACCCTCCCAACCATGTGAACTTAGTTTTTAAATTTATTCCCTCAAAAAAATGTTTGAGCAACTCTCAATAATTTCAGGATGTTACTATTCCTGTCGAAAGAGACACCAACAAATACAATGACACTATACTGTAGGTTTTCCTGATGCTCTCCATGAAAGCAACAGAACACATACCTCTTCAGAAAGGCTAAACCCTCTCCTTCTAAAACAAAATGCTGCCGGATAAATAAATTAGACCTTTTAGGTGTGTAGCTGGAAATAATACCAGGAAGAAACTAAGACAGAAAAAATACAATAAATACTGATGTAGGAATCTTTTCCTAACAATACTATTTAAAACATATGGAAGAATAAGCCGATGTGATTCTTTTTAACCTGGTAAAGATTTCAGTACACAGAGGTAGGGACATACATATTACATCTATTTTACTAACATTGTAACATTTCTGACTAACAATTTGCAAACAAACAAGTCACAATTATGAAAAAGCGTAAATTAGAGTGAATACACAATCATCTTCTAACATCAAAACCAGAAATTTGAGCTCCTGTACATAGAAGTTAGTTCAACTGCCCTCAACATATTCTCTCCACATTTTATGAAAAAGAGAATCACAAATAAGAGACTATCACAAGAGACAGTCTGCTCAAGGACAAGAAAAATGCAGTATTTTACTGCATTTTATCACCCTATCTTTTATTTCACAGGAAACAAAAGGACAAAATTCAAACGATAAGATGGAAAAGAACAAGTAGAACAGCAGCAACAAATTCAGGCTACACTCAAGGCATCTTGAGTACAACATCTGTCAAGACACTTTTCTATACCTTTAGAACACAGGGAAAAGTTCAGGAGACAGAACTGTTCATCAAGGAATCTAAATTCACATTTGCATTGGTCTTTCGCTGAGAAAGACTATTTAACATCTTCTTTCCTGTAGTTAAAAACTGGAGTTTTGTACCACTTCAGGAGTCTAAAAAAGGAGGGACTCGATGCCAAAACCAATAGCATAAACATGTTTAAAACCAGAGTAGAGTCATTTAAGACAAGTGAAGGACTTCAAACTGGTCTACCACAAAAATAGGCTAGTGAAAAAAAAAAATGAATTTCACCAAGCAATCTGAGGAATAAAATCTATTGTATTAATCTGTTAAAGATTAGGAAATTAATACATAAGGGAAGAATTGTAAAATATAAGAATAAAATAAAAGCACTGCACAAGACTCCTGCTGTTCCAATCTCTTATATGCCTTTGATCATTAAACAAATATTGGCTGAAAGAACCACTTACATTTTTCTCTTTGTAAGATCCTTGACAAAGCCTCACAAAAGGCTAGAAGAAAAATTAATATTTGACAGAATGTAAAATGCAGTCATGGATTAGACATTGGCTAAGCAATAAAGAGAAGAAACTGTAAACAGTCAACCTCACAGAACACAAAAAACCAAACAAAATGTAATTCTTATTAAAAAAAATCCGCAACATTTGAATTAATGACCTTAGGGAAAAATGTTGATGATTTATGTTGGTCAAATCTAGATGGAAGAGAACAAATGCAAGTATATTTAAATCTGTAAAGTCAGAATAACAGCAGAAAAAAAAAATCACTTTTGACAAATATCAGTAATATGTTAGAAAGAGTAAGTCACAGGAAACATAAGCATGAACTACTCATTCATGTTGCTGAGTTTTAAACGGAAAACTAACTTAAGCTGCTAAAAACCTTAGTCTCCAAAGCATTTTTCCTAGTATTTGGCACCTTTTCCACCAGCAGTTCAGCTTCATTAGACATTTGTATCAAGAGTATGCGAAACATCACAGATTCTTCTAAAGCTACAAGTGCCCTCTCTGCTTTCATCACACTATCATGCGTTATTTTGCTCTAGATAAGACTAAAAAAGTGCCTACTGGCAACTAACACCTGAGATTTCACTGTAACAGTTTTCCAACTGTTGCTGGTGTTCCTGTTAATGGAATTACTGTATTACCGAAAAGGGTGCGAAATTTTCTACGCTTGTATTAACCCTTGTACAAAATACAGGTTCGGTTAGAAACCAGGAAAAAACAATAAACCAGAAGTAAACATTATAAACATCAAACCTTGATGATTAGGAGAAAGTGATTTGATTCAAGGAGATTAGCACTCTGAATAATGCTATGAACTCTGGTCACGTAGCTCCAACTACATTTACAGAAGGCATTCAGAGTTTAATATTAGCCTATACCACTGCTTATTTTAAGGAAGATGAACATAAAAAGGACCGTAATGCCCAACAACAGAGAACGACACAAAAAATATATTGAATAATCTCATGTACATAGACCACATTATTTAGAAAAAGGGAACATCAATTTGTATTGGAAAAAAAATACTTTTGGACAAAGAAATAAACTATAATGAGCTACACTGAAACTATCATACCCAAGTTCAAGAAAGTTTGGATTAGGCATTTCCATAGCTAAGGAGAATACCTATAAATGCATAAAATATAAATTGTATAAAAGCTATAATCCTATATACTCCTTGACATACGAATTAATATATAATTGTTATTACACATAAAGAATTCTTAAAAATCCCCATGTTCCTATTTGAACAGACTGCTCCATAACCACGTTATCATGAGTTACTGAAACCTGCTCTTAAAACTGAAGCATTAATCTCCAAAAATAAAATACAGAGACAATATATTCTAGCAATGATTTCTGTATTTTCTACGTACGTTATCAGTGCTTAATACTAGGTAATGAAACACGTGCACCTACAGGATTACAAATATTGTTCTCACATTTCTGTGTTGTTACACTCATCAGACACAGCTTTGAAGATGCAGGTTTCGGTTGGGGAGTTAAAGCTCAGAAATACAGACAGTCTTACTAGTTTCAGACATTTCCAGAATTACACAGAAAAATGGAAGAATGGGTCAGTTGTGCTCATTCACTTATTTAAGGCCGGATAAATGGACAACATGCTGAAAAGTTAACATTCATTACCAGTTGAAGCTGAACGCATTTGTTTCATGTGGGCTTCTATGACAGAAGGGTCTTTGGAACTGTAAGATCCGAGTTCAGGATAAAAGTTGGCCCCAATGTCCTCAGGAGGATTATGCCTTCCCTTCGGATAATTGTTCGCAATTTTGGGATCCCAGTGTGGCAACAAGGGATGGTTCCAGTGAATATATTTACCATCAAACTGTGGATTCCCAAACCAACTATAGTAGAATATGTGAAAGTTATAATTAGGAGAAGACAGCTCTTCTTCCAGCTTGTTTACAGGAGGCATAGATGCTTTCATAGTATTGACTGCAATGCCGTGCAGATTACTGACGTGTGTTACAGGATCACCTTGAACCCTATTTAGAGAATTCTGTTTATTGTCTAAGAGCATTGTCCGTTGTTGAAGCTCAGGCAACAAACCCAGTCCAAACGGATCCCCAAAGCCAGCTCTATCAGGTCTCAGAGTCTTCAAAGCCATCATTATCGAGCAAATAAACAAAATAAAAAGCAACAAAATGATGCATGTTCTTCTGCGAAATCTTGCCATGATGACATAGTTCAGAATCCACACAGAAGGATTTTGGCCGCAACTGATCAAAAGACAAATGTTTTAAAGTCACATTTCTTACTACCCAACAGTATGAAATGCTTTATAAAGTTTCTACACAATAGAAATTAATATGGAGACAAACGTGATGCAGACACTCACTGCATAACTAACAGCCCTTTGTCAGGGAGGGAGGGAATAAAAAAAAACATTTCTGCATTTGAGAACGAGTGTCAGGTTCTGAGGTTCTGCCACCATGGACTTGCATATTATACAAAACATCTTACTTTTCAACCTCATTGTGTTCCTACCCCAAACAAATCCCATGAAATGGAAATTCTGGTTACATTATTTCAGAACTATTATGTTTTGACAAGTCTGATAGAAATAGCACAGAAAAGAGAAGAAAAACATGCAGAAGCCAAGAAAGGAGAATAATGAAGCGCAAGAAGAGTAAAGGACAAAATGCGATATGAGAGTAGTACAGCTCATGTTCCAAACACTGGTTTCATTTACTAACCAATTTACTGGCTTTGGACCAACCACTTCGCGTTTAGTCAACTAACACATTAACTAAATCCTTTGGCAAATTAAACTCAAAACAATGATGCTTTGCAACTTCACAGATCTAAAATTATAATTTGCTTCCTGAATTCTGTAAACAAAAACCAACATTAAGGACATACCTCAACCAGAAAGCCTCTAAGTCAGCTGCTAGCAGCCTGTTAGTACAATGTCAGAGCTGCATGACACTTCACGTAGAAGTCCAGGACTAAGTTCAAAACCAGACCAAACAGTACACAGCAAGACTTGAGCCCTGAAAGTAGGGAGAAGAAAATCAGCATAAAGGAATGCCTGATTATTTTATTTATAACTTTAATTCCTGTTCAACACTAAACACAAGAGAGCCCGAGAAAAGGATTAACGAAATTTAGGTTACCACAGAATTACGTGGAACAAGATTATGCATAAAACTGACACTGAACTGGAAAATCCTAGAATAAATTTCCGATTCAACAGCCATTAGAGATAGCATAGCTGTGATTTTATATTTCTGTCACTGGCCTCCAAGTTTTAGAATCCTACTTTAATTTACTGAGATATACAGAGGTCTCTTAAAAATACTTATAAAGTATCTCACCTTAGTTTCCTACCAATGTTTTTTATTACCGTTAAAATGTATTAACATATGGCTCAGTTGTCACAACACTCTTTGTTACTGCTGTGATAATTTTAGATAACGAATTTTAGAATATGCTTTTTAACAATACAGCCTGAATTGGATTAGCAGTATGACACTGCCAAAAAGGGAAGTTCTGCTTCCATTTCCAACCCTAATCCTTTCTCCCTGCTGTCTGCTTTTAGTTACCTCTGGTATTCATCTGGTTTTTATAGTGAGGTCACTCACACACTTCCACAGCAAAACCCTGTTAACGTCTCAAAAAAAACGACCAAAAAACCCACTATGCACTTTTACCTTGTTAGAGCTGACTCAGCAGAATAAGTATCACAGCACTAATGTCAACGAGAGTTAATAGCACAGATGGGGGAAGGGAAACGAATGAAAATGATGCTGCTCATTTTGCCCAACTGGATTGTGAAACCATACCTTTGGCTACTGTCAGGGAAAATTATTTTATGGCATATAACCTTATATTACTTCATTTAAGAATTTTCATTACCAGATTTCACACCACTTCATATCAAGTTACTGAGTTCTTTTTCTATAGCTCACAATCCACCCCAAGATCTGAGAATTTCGTCAAAGAGATTATTTGGAGTCCAGACGATCTTTATTCTAATGAGAAATTAAGCTTAAATACATCCAAACTACTCCTATTTTTCCTGACATTTTTAGTCTTCTTTCTAGTCTATCATGCTGCCTCTCCCTGGGAGATTGACTCAAATTTCGGATTAGACAAACTGAAGTTTTCTAAAAAGACAGGATTTATTTTTCTTTTTTAAAGGAAACAGTATTATTCACCTGGCTAATGTATCGATTTATTCAGTTTTCTTTAATTTAACCCAGATGCTATTGACCTCCATCAAACAACATATAGGATTGCCATTGATAAGTTACTTCTGCGATTACTATTTTATCTCATCTCTTCTGTAAAAAAGAATTCAGGACTGTAATGTCTGTAATTAGAATGTTCCTAAGGTCTTTCATTTGTACTTTCCCATTCCATATTGAAGAAACTGCTCCTTTTTATTCTTTGCTTGACATATCTGCTACTAAATTCCTCCTCTATAGCATCAAGATCTCACTATCATAAAGTGCTTTTTCCAAAGTGTCAGGAATTGATCTTAGTGCTCCACGTTCTTACTTCAACAAGTATTTTTCAAACAGAATATTTATCATTAAATTATACTAAACAATGAGAAGCATACTTAATAGCATCAGGACAGACCCTGCTCTACCATAGCATATTATGAACCTCTAGTATACTTATACAGAGGCTCAGCATCAAAATGCAAAATTTCTAGAACAACTAAGTGACAGGCAGGGTAAAGGCTTGTGTTTTGGGGAGATGTCAGGCTCAATGATGATGACATATTTCAGCCTTGGCATAGATACCTCTACTGTAAAAGCTGTATTGAAGAGCTACAGGCTGGCAACGCTTGCATTATGTCATTTAATCTTGTGCTGAGCTACTCTTTAGAGACAGTGACAGATAAATTATGCTCATCAACGCTAGTGCCACAGCAGAACAGTAATATTGGGGAAACAGACTGAGCAAACATGCCATGTGAAACAGCTACCTGAAGTTATGTCTATCCGTGGAACTTGTAAAACCTTAGAATACATTTCTGATTCAACAGCCATCAGAGACAGCATAGTTGTGATGTATTTCTGTCAGGGACATCCAAATTCTAGAATCTGACTTCAATTCACTGAGGCACACAGGTCATTCCTACATACTTATGAAGTACCTTGCCTTGGACTGTTGGGGGCATTTGGATCTAACAGCAATTCCCTTTCTCAGTAGGAAAAAAGTCAGCCTGAATAACTTCAGCTTTATGCAGATTAAGATCTCCCACACAGACAGTTACTCCTGACTCCTGTGATGACTTGTTAGCTAGTATCAGGTTTTGTATTCTAACCCCAAGTTTGGTGACCCATGTTGGTGTACCAGCTGAAAATGTAAGTAGTTCAAGCTCTTTCTCTTGCCTAGTGAATTCATTTTAAAAGAACAAAAAAGTGTCCATCTGTAACAGGTCAGAAGGAAGAAAAGAACAAGTTGGTTTAGAACACCAGTCTGCCTACGGGCAAAGAACAGGCCCAATGTACAACAATGCTTTACCAGAACAGTTGGGTATCTTCAGCTATTTGTGGATCAGAGGCTTCCTGAACAAAAGGTCATTTCTTTGTGCAATATGAAAAAAACACCTTCCGTTTAGAAACTCACCTGCTAGTTTAATTTGATGCCTCTAGTTCTCAAATTGGAAGGGAGATAAAGTAAGCATTTGTCTACGTTAATTTATTGCTATTTACATTTTCTACTTCACTAATAATTTAACTGCTTCTATCAGGTTCTCTGAGTTTTCCTGTAGAGAAATTTATAGTCTGTATATTGTGTCAATATCACTGGATACTTTTAAACATTTTTGAGGTGTTTCTGCTCTGTAGTATTTCAACTCCACTACATCCATCTTTTCTGAGATTAAGGGAACACATTTGAATACAGTGCAACTTTCAACATGCACCCCAGGCATAAAATTGCTTTTTCTTCACCCTTTTTTTTTTTCCTTTCTTTTTTGCTCCCTATCCCGTTTCCAAATATTTCTGCTTTCTATCAATTCAGTTCACAGTTAATGCAGCCTGACTACAGAATTATCATCATCCCTAAATCTAGTTCCTGAATGGTAAAAATGAGCTCAGAGGTCATTTTGGTGAAATTAAAATTGTTTTCTTTACTCTGTGCATTACACAACATATTGCTTAAATTTTTTATTTTTTTTTTTTAATCACCCAGTCACTCCATACTGGAAAGTTCTTTGGCAAATTTTCCACTGAAAGGTGCCTGAAGAAGTCAGGATCTACAGTTAACTCTGTCAATGTACTCTTCACTACCACACACACTTTTCCAAACCATGAATTATTACCTTCAGGTCCAGACTGAAATCACATGAGTCAATTGATGTCTTTTGGTTCCTCCTTTTATGATTTCAGATGCTACAATTTCCTTCATCACACATGAGAAAAATACAAAGCTTTACCAAAAAAAGGGTAGAACCTATGTCTACAACCTTCAGTCCCCTTCATCAAAAAAACGTATACAGTTGTTTTAGTTTCTAAGCTGCCATATAGAGTTAAAAAGAGAAAATAAATGTAAGTATATTTATCCCGCTATGACCATCTCTTTGGTTTCTTATGTGGGAGTAAATAGTATGAAAATCATCACAGTATGAGAAAAGCTGCAGCTTCCTAAAAACAACTAACACGCCCACGGGGAAAAAAAAAAAAAAACCAACCAAAAAACCCCCCCCAAAAAAGTCCGTGAAAAAAGCCGAAGTATTTTCTAAACTGTTCCTCAAAGTTAATAGCAAGCCTGTTTCAAGGATAGCTTCTCCTACTCAAGCTCATTCTTGACAGTTACCGTACTTTTTTCCCTCCCTCACCGCTGCTTTCCACACCCTGAGGTTATCCTGCAGGCGAACCTTCTGCCCGTCCTTCCCACACTTCTCTGCCCGCTCACACTTTCCTCTAACACCAACGAGCCAAGTACCGGCCCCT